AAAGATAAATATAACAGAAAGGGATAGTGAAAAAGCAAAATAGAACTAATAAGAGATAATGTTAACAAGAAGTAGAATAAAAAAAGAGTAAAAAAGATAAAAAATAAAAAGGTTAATAATTTAAATGATATGCTTACAGAGAACTAAATGTTAATAAAAAATTCAGACAAGAAAATATAAGCGGAGAAAAGAAAATTTGGGAAAATAAAAAAACAAAAGTGAAAAGCAGAATATAAAATAAGAGTATCATAAATATTGATAACTTTAATGATAATCTAATAAATTGAAAAGATTAAACGAAAATAAAGAAAGTAGAGAAAAAAAAAAGGTAAAAAAAAAAAAAAAAAAAGAGAGAAAAAGAGTAGTTGAGTTAAAAATAAAGGTAACGGAAGATTATAGGTAAAGAAATAAATGAATAATAAAAATTTTAAAAAAAAAGCAACAAAAAAAGAAGTGAGTGAGAGAGTAAACTTATAATGTGATGAGTATAACAATGAAAAGAAAGAAAGAAAGAAAAAGTAAAGATTGAAAGGGTGGTATATTGAAAGGTAGAAATCAAATTTGAGATTAAACAATATCACATGATTTCATGAATATGCATGTCCGTGAAGCCATGTGATAATTTAGATACTGTAGCAAGTTGAAGCTAGGTAAAGAATAAAAAGAAGACAAAGGGAAAAAGAAAATTTTTTAGTAGATAATAGTAAGGATGAAATAATAAATGAAAAGAAAAAAAAAAAAAATATATAAAAAGTTTTAACAGAACAATTTTGGTAAAAGGTAGATTTAATAAAAAGGTTTCAATGATGAAAAGTTTGTGGAAAACAAAGAGGCAAAAAGTGTAGCAATAAATAGAAGCTTTAAGGGTTTATTGAAGACATAATAAGAAATAATACTAAAGTGAAATTTAAAAAAAAACATGTAATCTCTCAATAGATCTAATATTATTCGAAAGCTAAAAGAAGGTTCCAACATGAAAACTCCAATAGTGAAAGATTCTGGTGAAAAAAAAAGGAAGAGGCAAAATTAAATAATGGTAAAAAGTTTATATAGGTGATAATTTTAATGACGAAAACTTAATGATAAGAAAATAAAAAAGAAGATATAGTAAAAGAGTGTAGTATAGATTTATAAAATAAATTTCCAAAGTTTTGATGGCATAATTTTAATAAATGTTAGGTTCAATAAAAATAGCTTCTAAAGATGAAAGGGGTGATGAAAACGACGAGATAAAAGAGCATAGTATGAAAAAGAAGCTTCTATAGGTGAAGGATCTACTGACGTATGTAATAAGAATTAATACGAAAGTACAATTTAAAAAAAACACGTAACCTCTCAATAGATTTAACATCATTTGAAAGCTGAAAGAAGGTTCTAATATGAAGACTTCAATGAAGCTGAAAGAAGGTTCCAATGTGAAGACTTCGATGTTGAAAAATGCTAGTGAAAAAAAAAGAAAGAAGAGGTAAAATTAAGTAAATGTAAAAAGTTTAGTTAAGTGATAGTTTTAAAGACGAAAGCAGTAATCAAGAGAAAAAGGCTTAACGATAAGAAAACAAAAAAGAAGATATAATAAAAGAGTGTAGCATAGCTTCATAAAATAAAATTTAAAAAGTTTAACGACATAATATAGTAACTAAGCTTGTTGAAAATGACAAGACAAAAGAGCATAGCAAAAAAAGAAACTTTCACAGAAGAAGGATCTACTAACGCATGTAATAAGAATTAATATGAAAGTGATATTAAAAAAAAAAGATGTAAGCTCTAAATAGATTTAACTTGCTTCAAAAGCTGAAAGAAGGTTCCAATGTGACGACTTCGTCATTGTAAGACACAGATGAAAAAAAAAGAAAGACGCAAAAGTAAGTACTGTTAAAAAAATTACTTAGGTGATAAGTTTAATGATGAAAGCAATAAGCAAGAAAAAAAAGCTTAACGATAAGAAAGCAAAAAAGAAGATATAATAAAATAGTGTTGTTCAGCTTCATAAAGCAAAGTTAAAAAGAGTTGATGACATAGAGGTTATAAATGTTAGGTTCAATAAAAATATGTACAAAGATGAAAGAATTCTTGAAAACGAAAGGCAAAAGAGCATAGCAATAAAAAGAATTTTCCACAGAGGAAGGATTTAACAACAAAGATAAGAAGAATAAATAAAAAAGGGAAAAGAAAAAAAAATCGCATATTACAAATAAGTAGGGTAGAATAGAAAAAAGGAATTGCAGCTAAAAAGATTAAAGAGAACGCATATTAAATAAATACAGTATAAAAAAAAAATATTAAATAAAAAAAAATAGATAGCCAATGAGATAAGAGTGAAAGTTACACCATGCAAGCGTTATCATTATACTCAAAAATTTTTAATATATAGATAAATGAAAATGAATAACCAGATCTAAACTCTATACTAGCAAGAATAAAAAAAACCAAGAATATGAAAACAATGAAACCAACTATCTAAAAAATCTAATAGCTTTAATTATCTACTATTACAGTATTTAAAAAAAAAATAAGCTAATAAGCACAATGAAAAGAAAAAAAAATTAAACAAAAGCAAAAAAAAAAGCAAAAGAAAATAATATATTAACAAGAATAAAGAAATTAAAAATGTGATAGCAATAAAATCAGCTATTAAAAAAATTATAGCAGTTTTGGTAATTTACTATTATTTGAAAACAAAAAGAAGTTAATAAAGGTGCTGATATTTATTATCTATATCCATTTACTATAGAGGCTTATCTCCCACCCCTAGGTAAGATATTTGATTGACTATAATTGTTTTATATAAGGTAAGGTTTTGCTTAACCCTCCACCTCTAAAATATTATATAATAAATATCAGCACCCTAAGCATAATAAAAAAAAAAACAAAAAAAGTAAAAAAAAAAAAAAACACCAAAAATAAAGAAGCAAAAAAGAACTAAAATAAAGTAAAAGGATATACCAGTATTAATATCAAAACCAACTACAAAAAACCACAATAGCCTTGACAGTTTGAAAAAAAAAGGTTAGTAAATACAATAAAGAAAAAAAATAAGTAAAAGCATAGTAGAAAAAGAATATATAAGAATATATTAGCAAGATTATAGAAACCAAAAATATGAAAATAATAAACCTAGCTACTAAAAAAAACTATAACAACCTTGATATTCTATTGTTATTTGAAATAAAGTTAATAACAATGGGAAAAAAAACAAGAATAAAAAGTAAGTAAAAGAAAAAATATATATTAGCAAAAATAAAAAAACTAAAGGCAATGAAACTAACTACCAAAAAAACCTTAACTACCTACTGTTATCTGAAAAAAAAAAAGAGTTAGAAATATAATAGGAAAAAAAAAACCAAAAAAAGAAAAGAAAAAAAAATAATGCTAATAATAAAGCTGATGACAGCCCTGTTATCTAAAAAAAGAAAATATAAGAAAAAAAAAACAATCAAAAGCAAAAAAGAAATGAAAAAAAAAATATACAATAACTAAATCAACCACCATAATATGACGATTTATAGATTTACTGTTATTGAAAAACACATTTAAAAAAAAACCTAATATTGATTTTATATGATTGCCAATCTTGAATATGATTGGCTGATCATGTGGATCACCATGGTGATAGGTCGCCAATTAAAATTTTCCAAATTTAAAAATCAATTTGTACAAATTTAAAAGACACTTTGTATGAATTTGGTGTCAAAAAAATAGTAATTTTTTTTATTTGTTAAAAATGTTTTCTAAATTTTTTTTTATTAATAAATTTTTTTTTGTTAAAGTTTTTTTTTGTTAAAAATTTCTTTTTTATTATAAATTGTCGTCATAATTATCACATAATGTAGTGATAAATCAATCACACAATAAACATCCCTATTAAAAAAGTTTTACGGAATTTTAAATGAATTTATACAGAATGTTTAGTATAATGCCGTATACATACGTACGGAGTATGCTGCAAATTCCGTATTTTATACGTATACGGAGTATGCCCTCCCTAGGAGATCTATAAAGAAATGGATTATATAATTCCTTATGCATATTCTGTATATAAAATACAGAATTTGCGGCGAATTCTGTATGTATATAATATGGAATTATACTAAATATTCCATATAATTCATTTAAAATTCCGTAAAACCTTTTTATAGGGTATTAGAAATCCAAGTTAAATAATAGGTTAAACTGCAGTTCCGTATTAATTAAATGATCTCGCACTGTTAGAGTTCCGATCTGATCCGTATGGATGAGTCCCAAACCTAATTTTTACATGTAGTGATTTGGGATTTTTAGCCGTAATATATGTTACCTGTTACATGTCAAAATGTTTTACTTTACAGGCATTTTGTGAAACCTAGTAAATACTATTTGATTTCCAAACTAGTAGGTTTGGGGCGCAACTCTAGTGATCAGGGCACTAGGTCTACAGGGACACGCATTACTAGTCATGTGACATGGCCTAAATTATAAATATCCAAACCTAATTAAAGAGAGAAGTTATAGCAACGGGCAGAAATGAATATGATTCAAACTAAACACTTACCGCCATATTTGATCTTTCGTTAGTGTGTATTCTTTTTGTGATCGGACCTACTCTAGCTAACCAGGTTTTGCGACCTTCAGTCACGTTGTTACACGACTTACATTTCAGCATAGAATTCGATAATTAGGTCTTCATTCAAATTTTGAACAGAGATGTCTCAGAAATGACCATTTGCAATGTTCAAGAGCGATTTTGAATTCTATAGATTTCTAGAATTCGAAGGTTTGCTTGAATAAAAAATTTTTTTTTTCAAAAATGGTAACCAATCAATGATACTAGATCTACACAGGAAATATAAATTACGTTAGAGTGGTACAAACTGATTTGATTTATCATGATTAAAAGAGACTGTGCAACGAAGTTTTTGAAGCTTCTCTCTTCAACAACTTCTTATTAAAATTCTTTAGTGAAAATCACTAACTTTATTAACAAAGACCCGTTTTTTTGCGGTGTCCTTGTAAAAAAAGAAATAATGATTTTGTCGCTTTTAAAAAAGTATGATGATCTGATTTTGAATAATGCGTCACAAATTAGCTCTATTGAGAGTTCTTTAAGGACTTTGACTTATGTTTTACCCGGTAAAGCATTTTTCGCGTAAAATCAGTAAAAATTGCGAAAAAAAAGATTCTAATTGAACTCTATAACAATAGTTGCATTAATGTTGTTAATTATTATATATTTTTTGGATTAAATATAATAGGACGTTTTGCAGACGCCGAGTTTGCATCAGAAACGTGTATGTAAAATCTGATATTCCGCATTCTTAAAACTTTTTAACGTTTGTTTCAACTGTGCTTTGCATTTCAACGTGATAAACAGTATTTGCAGCTTTGAACTTGATTGGATTATACCATGATTCCATTTTGGCCCGAGCTGCTGAAAATTTGCCTCCATCGATAAAACCATCACCATCACCTCATAATAGATACACAAGATTTTGGATAAATTCATCCAAAACATATCAACATGCTTCGCTTGCGTTAACATTTTTGCAATATACCGATGTTTTATTAGAAATGGGTGTACAAAAAAAATGGGGGAAAGAGGTTAAATGGAAATTGATTAGCATGATTGAACTTATAAAGTGAGTATTAAACAATGATGCATAGAGTTTATTGGATTGTGTTTTTAATATTTTATGTTGTATTTCTATGATTAAATAAGAGTGGTCTGCCGGATCATTCTTCTGTACAAAACTCAAGAACGTACGGTGATTGAACCAACTGTTCCAAGACGAGAAATTGACCCTTCTGTTTTTCCCTCCACGTCAAATGATGATGTGTTGAGTCATCGCGAACAAGGAGAGTCAGATACTTGGGTTGGGAAATACACTAATCGAGTACACGATAGTATATCTGTCGTTCGTTCCCAGCATTCTAAACATTATGATGTAAATGAGTATTTAACGAGTAAAGTATTGATGGTTGAAGATGTACGAAAACCACCAGATCTTGTTCGCAAATTGTATTCATTTGGAAAACTTAGCGAATTGTTATATATTCTGAGGCCTTTACTTTATGGTATTTATTTTATTTTATTATTTTTTTTTTATGACCTTTATTTAATGTAACAAACCATATAATAATTTAAATTTATAGTTATTGCTTTGCAAAAATATGGCAATAAGTCATGGCGGCCATGGTTATTATCATTATCTATAGAATTGTCGACAATAATCCTTATGAATTACTACTACAAAACACATATACCCGGCGGGGGCCGATGGTTATCAACGTTAGAGAAAGAAGAACGGAAGAGGCGTATTCGACAATTCTTCTTTTATATATTAAGAGGACCTTTTTATGAACAATTTACGAGGTACAGATTAAAAAATTTCCTCGTTATGATTATGGAAGAATGACTGTTTTCTATTCTTTATTCTGATCATTCACTTAATATATATTTTATCAAGGCCAAAAGTCAATAAATTTTGTAATTCAGTTAGCAACAAACCTATCCTAGCATTATTTGGTGGTATTCTAAGAGACTACCAACCATTATGGGAAAATATTTATTTCTATAGTAAGTTTTTTTTTGTCTTTTTTTTTCAATATTGTAATTTATTAAACTAATTTTATTATGCAAAATTTCAGCGGCATCTTCATGATAGATCTCATGTTTATTTTAGTTTATTTAGTTAGCGCTAACGTTTGAGCGTTGTGCAGTAGATATTTCCTTTTTAGAAGCAATAGTATGATGCTTAATGTAGATCAATTGTTAAATTTGGAAAAAGCAAATTGCTTTATGGGGAAATTTTTGTTACACGAATAAAAACGATTGTAAAAAATAATCTCAGCAACTTAGCACTACTAAGATTTGCGAGATGAGTGAAGACGCGCTGCTATCCGTTCAAAAAAAATTTCGCTTATCGAATAAGAGGTCTTTATATAAAAAAAACCAAATGGCTATCATCCATCGAGAATTAATGGCTAACTAATCAAATTCTTTATTTTATGTCGACACTAAACATAAATATGCAAGAATCAATCCATATACGAAAAAAATTTTATACTTCGAGCTTTGTCTCAAGATCAATTTTCATGTATTAACATAAAATATACTAACGTAATGTCTTGAGATATAATAGATAAAATTTTTTTACAAAATATTCATATTGTACTCGATAAACCCCGATCAAATAAATTCTCTTTTGTAATCTAAATCGATGTACTTAGCTGCCACTACAAAAAAAATTTGACGATACATATATATAAAAATAAAAAAAAATGTAAAAATTAGAAAAAAATTACAATTATATGTCATTTAGACTTTCGGATCTTAAAATTACGAGATACTCTCCTATTTTATATATTATAATTGGTAATATAATAATAATAAATAAATAATTGAATTATACACACCTTTATATACTTATCGTCACCAATGTTCTTTCCATAACTTCATCCATTATTTAATTGATTACTAATAACTTAAACCTTTTTTATATTTAACTTCTTTGTATAAAAAAAATTTTTTTTGTCTTTTCATATAATTAAAAACAAAAAAACAACCAATTTTTATTTAATTTATTTTAAAAGCTAAAATTTAACTAATAATTTATTAAAAAAATTAATACAAAATAAAATTAATTAGATCTTTTTATACAAAAGTTTAATTAATTTAAGAGCTAATTCATGAAAGAACAGCAGTATTACTATAGTAGCTTTATAATAAAATTTTGGGCAAATTTAATATAAAATTTATACTTGAATTAAATCTGGCAGTTTTCTCAAAGTAAAGTTGTTCTTTTATCAAGTTAATCTTTTTTTAGTTTTTAATAAAAGTTGTAGAGCTTGTTTTTTGTGATCCTAATAGTAGTAATATCAAGGCCACTCAACCAATTTTATTGATTTACTACTATTAAAATCACAAAAACAAGCTTTACAACTTTTATTCTTAATAAAAAAAAATTTTATTTTAAAAAAATAGATCTTAGTATAGCTGGGCAATATTAGTGCTTTCCAATGAGCTGGCTCAATGAGTCTTGCTAAAAATTGCCATTGGCTCATTAAGGCTTATTTAGTTTTTATATTATATAATATATAAAAATATTATTTATTTGTATAGTTTATATTATAAACTATACAAATAAGTGATATTTTTATATATTATATAGTATAAAAACTAAATAAGCCTTAATGAGCCAATGGCAATTTTTAGCAAGACTTATTGAGCTAGCTTATTGGAAAGCACTAGGCAATATAAAATATTATAAGATTATAATATAAAAAAACTCTAACCCTAACTTTATTCTAACTTTAGTATAAACTATAAACCTCACTCTAACTTTAACTAATCCCAAATTTGTTAAACTTTTGTTTACTATTCCTACTAGTGTTTTACTTTATCTATACATACATAATATTAAAAATATCTGGGATATTTAACTATAACACTATATTCCAAACTTTATTAAATAGCTGTTTAATTAGATTATATAGTTATTTATTTATATTATAATCTTATAATAATTCTATATTGCAGTATTGCCCAGTTATACTAAAGATTAATCAAGAAAATTACTAATTTAATTTAGTATAAATTTTATATTAAATTTGCCTCAAATTTTATTATAAAATATTATTATTTTTTTGTGAATTAGTTTTTAATCTATTTAGAATATAAATATTTATTATCTGGTTTTTTATAAAAACAAGATAGAAAAATTTATTAGATACTATATAATATAATACTATTAGCCAATTAAAATTGATTAATATACATTCAAAACTCTTCCCGATAATCATTTGAACCAAAATTTTCTATCGAAAAAAAACTTACTTTTGTTAGAGAGTTGTGATCTAACATTGCGGTTTGCCTAGAGGTTAACGGTTTTCTGTTCTGAAACTTTTCTAAAAGTTGTGCATTTGACATACAAGCCAAGAGTATTAGTATACAAGTTAACTGGCAGGAGATGTATGCCCTTGAATACAAAATCTTGGTAGAGAAACAAGGGTCTTCTCCATTGACAAAGTTATTTATGCTGTTACTTCCAGAAGAAAAATACAGAGAAAATGACAAATTTTTGATTTTTTTTCAAGCTGCACTCTTTTACTTGGCCAAGTAGTTCCTCTTTTACTATTACTCGCCCTCCCGTCGGTCTTCTAAAATTTTTTATAAAAAGTGAGGATTTGGCTTATCCCCTCTAAAAGATCGGCATTGTTTACATTTGCCTAATTTGGGTAAACTTAGTAGAATGCAATCACATATTTGTTTTGTTTGTTAATATGATGCTACAATATGTGGAAGAGACTAGTGCCCCTGTTTAAAAGATACCCAATTTTAGTCATGTATTCGCAATGAGTCTTTAATGATAAAGCGAAGCTTTACAATTGAGATATATTGATTAGTTGCAATCAGTATATAATTTTTTAATACCAAGCATGGGCTTTATTAATATATTTTTTGTTTTTCTATTCTTCTATTCGTATATTAGAACTACATAGTTCTTTTTTTTGCTTTTTTCATCTTTATCTATTTATAATAGAACTATATTTAGAACATACTCTTTTCGTATGTATTTTTTTTCTTTTTGTTTTTCTCTTTCTTTTCCTAGATTTTGTTTTTTTTTCATAGACATAGTATATATTTTCTTCTTTTATAAAAAAATAAGAGATAAACTATTCTGCCCGAATCTAGGTGGAAAAAGTTTTAAAGAAAAGATAGTAGTCTTGACGGGCTAGTGAGGCCTTCTGTTGATATTTTATTTCACTTTACAGGAGGGAATATTATAAAGGAAAACTCTGCTTATAGCTCATAGGAAGACATTCATATGATTGGTTAATTTTTGCCGATCTACCCATGATTGCCTGTGATAATTAACCAATCAAA